GACGGTCATTTGTCCTGTAGACTCTTGGCGGAGCATAGGGCCTCAACAACACCATGCCAACGGACTCTGTTCTGGGCTCTTTTCTTCAGCTGGATCCACGCCATTCCGGCGGCCCTCACTTCGTTTTCGATAGATCTTCTCCACGTCTGTTTGGGTCTCCCCACTTTCCTTTTTCCTTGTGGGTTCCAGTCCAGTGCTTGCCTTGTGACGTTGTCGAAAGGTTTTCGAAGTGTGTGGCCTATCCAGCCCCATTTTCTCTTCTTGATGTCTTGCCCGACTGGGTTCTGGCTGGTTCTCTTCCACAGGTCTCTATTCGAGGTCTTTTCAGGCCATCTGATGTTGAGGATGTATCGCAAGCACTTGTTGATGAAAGTCCATATCTTGTTAGTAATATTTTTGGTTACCTGCCACGTCTTGGACGCATACAGGAGGACTGCTTTCACGTTGGTGTTAAAGATTTGAATCTTGCTGCGCTGAGATAAGGCTTTGGAGTTCCAAATGGGTCACAGAATGTTGAATGCGAACCTTGCTTTGTTTATCCGGCTCCTGACGTCTTCATCTGCGCCGCCAACGCTGTGGACTACGCTTCCTAGGTAAATGAAGCGGTCGGTTTCCACCAAGTCTTCCCCCTGTAGCTGCAGTGGATGTTCTTGTCGGTTGTTCAGCTGCATCACCTCTGTTTTTCTGACGTTGATCTTCAGGCCGGTCTATTCTGCCTCCCCAGCGAGCCGGGTAAGTTTGGACTGTGCATGTTGCTGCTTGTGGGACAGAAGGCTGACATCATCTGCAAAATCCAGGTCCTCCAGCTGCTTGGTGAGGGTCCACTGGATACCGGTGTTGCTGCCCTCTGTGGTTTTCCTCATGATCCAGTCCATAATGATCAGGAAGATTGTCGATGACAACATGCAGCCTTGTTTTTACTGCAAAGGGATTGGTCAGTTTACCTTTGTGAATGATCTGGCAGGACGAGTCTTCGTATAGCTGTTGGATGATGTTGATGAGCTTCTGCGGAATTCCGTAGTGCTGAAACAGTTTCCAAATGGTCTCCCTGTCGACGCTGTTGAAGGCTTTTTCAAAGTCGACAAAGATTGCGTACAAGGGAGACTGCCATTTGATGGACTGCTCGATGATGATACGCAGAGTGGCGATGTGGTCTGTACATGATCTGTCTTGTCTAAATCCTGCCTGCTCTGATGTCAGTCCCTTGTCCAATGCCTCCTTCAGTCTCTCCAAGATGATTTTGGACAACACCTTGCTGGGGGTGGACAGCAGCATAATTCCTCGCCAGTTGCCACACTGGGATAGGTCACCTTTCTTGGGGAACTTCACCAGGTAACCAAGCTTCCAGTCGGCAGGCACTTGCTCCTGCTCCGATATCTTCACTAGGAGAGGATGTGACATCTCCGCTGCTGCTGCCGCGTCTGCCTTGAGAGCTTCTGAAGGAATGCCGTCAGGCCCTGGTGCCTTTCCATTTTTCAAGGACTTGATGGCTCTGCCTTGGGTGGATTGGTGTTGATACAGAGGGGCTCTTCTGCTGGTGGTATATCAGGAACTGTTTGCGGTGGTGGTCGATTCAAGATCTCTTCAAAATGTTCCACCCATCTTCTTCTTTGTTCCTCGTCACTTGTGATGGTTTTCCCATTCTTGTCCTTGACTAACTTACTTGGGTTGAAACTCTTTCCTGACAAGGTCCGGGTTATCTCATACACTCTCTTCATGTTGTTCTGCTTGGCTGCTGTTTCTGCCTCTTCTGTCATACTGTGCATAAATTGTCTTTTGTCCCGTCTAGCACTCCTTTTTACTTCTCGATTCACCTCCCAATATTGTGCTCTGAGGGCTGTTTCCTCACGTTGATCTTGACATCTATTAATTTTCTGCTTTACCTCCTTCCTCTTTTCTATCATTTCCCATGTCTCTTTCGTCATCCACTCTTTCTGCTCCCTCTCCTTCTTCCTCAGAATTTTGGTGCAAGCGGCCTTCCAGATCTTCTGTATTTCTGTCCAGTGGCTTTCTATTTTCTCTTCAACCAGATCCCCCAGTGCCTCAAAGCTGTTCCTGACTTCACAGTTGAACTGTTTTGTATTAGTATTTGACGGTAATTAGCTGAAATTAGGTCGGAGACTGATGTATTATGGGACGTTGTGGAGTTTTTGGGTTATTTTGTGCAATTATTCAGATTAACGCAAATCCTTCATTCAGTGGTGTAGTGGAGGGTAAATGCACATAAACGGCGTTTACGGACCTTTTAAATTTACAAAACAGCGTTTACTCACGTTTTTTGAGATCGCTATTGTTAAGGATATGAATAGTTACCCACCGTTTTTACTGCTGTGCATATAATTTATCCACCTTAAATTTCTTGTTACTACTACATCAATGCTTCATTTCTTCATTATAGAAATGTATAGTAATATCAAATGTTGTAGTACTCAAGACCAGTTTTTGAAGGTCTCGATCTTGTCTTTGAATCAGCCGTGTTTGTACTCATTCTTGTCATGGACTCGGGATTTTATTTCGAGACCAGCCGAGACGACAACTCTGAGAATATTCCTATTAATGAGCCGTTTACTGTCGGATTGGATAACTTTTCACTTCAAGTGCAACCAATGACGTTACTGCCGACCGCGTTACCCGCCCCACCCCTTCACACACGCACATGTGTGCACATGAATAGTCATGGGAAGGCTCAATTACAGTTTTTTCTGATTGCTTAAGCACATTTTTTGTAACTATTGGCTATTTTTGCAAAACTCTACACACAAATAAGAAAACCTTTCACCCAATTATCAAAACATTGTATTTCTCTTGCAAAAGCGAACACAGCTAGATGAACTCTTCACACCTTCGTAAAAATGGTGTTTTCGTATCAAACAGTACACACAAGCCATCATCTACTAAGCACACAAT